CCTGTTTTTTTTTTTTTTTTTTACTGGGACCAATATAATATATTGTCATAAGCTAAAATTAAAATGTCCTATATCAGTGAATATGAAACACAAAAACAGACATGCATATTATAATTCTGGTCTTCTTCGATTGAATGTTTATTTTGCTGTCAAATACCTTTTTCTTTGATTAAAATATAAAAAATGAATATCTTTTATTGATGGTAGCATAGGTATTGATGATAGTTTACCCATTTTATTTCAAATCATTGTATGAAATTAATAATTAGGATTTTTTCTTTAAATAAATAAAACACAATATTGTTATTTTCATCCTAAGTGAATTTCATCACCAAAATATTGCTATCTTCTTTAATTGTTTACATTTTGTCTTTAGTATAGCTAAAATTAACCAGCTTTTTGAAACTTGTCATCAATTGTTATGTAATACTTTAAATGGAATGATATAATTTTGGAACAAGTTTTAAATAGCTATATGAAATTCTTAAGTCATTAATAAAAATTTTTTTAAAAAAATACTTTTTTTATCAAATTTTTCTTCTTTGAATTTATTTTCTATTGCACTCTAATTTCTACAACACTGCCAAGTTAAAAATAGTGATACAAAATTTAGTTATTTAGCAAAAGGAAGATGGAGAATGCTTTTAAGAAAAACATGTCAATTCCTTCTGTGATTTTTTTTTTCTTTTAAAAAAATAGTTTAAATATGCAAATAATGTTCTTTTTTTGTGTAATGTAAATTAGTTTTAAAATTATTACTTTAAAAAAATAATAAATAAAAATTCATGTTGGAGTGACTCCCTTTATCAGTTTATTTATACTTAATTTTGCATCATTAATCAGTTTATTTATAATTTTGCATCATTAATTTTACAAACTTAAATGATGTTTACATGCAAAAGTGAAGTAATTTTAGACTGATTAAATGCTTTTATATTTTTTACAAGAAAATTTTATCCCTCAGTAAAGAATATTAATTATTGTAAACTAAAGAAAACTAATTATTTAAAAAAATATAGAATCCAAATCATAAATCCGACATTGTTTATATTGTTCTGTTTTGGATGAGAGTGTTAAGCAGTGAGTCTCATAATTTTATCTAAAAGTATGTATAAATATGTATAATTTTGTATGTCTAAAAGTATGTAGTAAAAAAAATATGTATAATTTTTTTTTGATTGGATCATTTAAATTGATGTCACACAATAATTTCATTCATTAGTTATGATTATTACAGGGTGCGTAGCGTTTGTAAAAAGTACTTAAAGGTGCTTTTTTGGGGATTTCGTTTTTAAAAGCTTTTAAAGGTGCTTTTTTCAGCTGGCGTTTTTAAAAAGTGCTTTTTTTTTTCGAATAATTTTTTTTCTTCCCTTCCGTGATATCTGGTGGATCCCATGCATTTCACGAAAAATGGGGAGTTTGCTACGTAATCATTCATTGATCCTTACTTACATGATA